GAACTAGTTCAGATCCTGAACTGGCATTGATAGGTACCAAAATTATTAAAAAAATTTGTCTGTACTAAATCATTCTCAAATACCTTTCGATTGAAACCCGTATTGTAAAATTTTAGTTAACTTGCGTATGTTTTTAAATAAGTTTAATTTTAAGATAATTGGAAACCCTGATGATAAATTTGAGCAAAGCTCAAAGCTCAAAGCTTATAAAAGAAGTATATTTTAATTAACTTTTTAGAAAGGTATCAACCCTTAATTGATTTTTAAATATCAGTAAAAATTCAGTATGTGAAATATGTGATGCATTTAAACTTACCATGAAATAAAACTATTTAAAATTTATGATAAACTGATTGTTAAACTCACATATGGGTATGTCCATACGTCGCATACGTGACAGTCGTACGTTTCAATGTGATACAAACAAGGAATACCATTTGTTTCCTTAAACTTTTTTAGGCCATTGTATAGTACATAATTAGCTCTATATTTAACCGAAAAATGAAAACAATCGAACTGCTTGGTCCTGAAATATAAGCATTTAAAGAGAGTATCGTTAGGTGACAAAAAATGGAAGTAGATTTTTTCTTTTCTTACAAAATCGCAAAACTGTCCGAATTGTGGATGGCTATTTTCATGAAACTTATTTTAATATGATTTGGAGCAATTCTAGTTGTTTTGGGAGTTTTTTGAATTAATGCAACTTGTTTCAATTTTCTTTTACAACCCCAAGTGTGAAACGGTGTGACGCTACGTCACGTGACATAATTTTCCATCTTTATATTTTTGTTAATATTGCTTTTGAATGAATTTTTAGAATATTAGAATATATTTTATATTTTGACTTCAGCGCCAATTCAGGGTGAATTTGTTGGAAATCTATGACTTATTATGTTTCAACTACATACGCCAAATTCGAACCAAATCGGACCATAAATACGGTATTTCGAAATATCTCAACCTTGCGCCACCTAGAAAGACCATTTTAGGCAAACATGATTCTACTTACATAGCCAGTATATATTTTAAAAAGCAGGCAAATCAGTCCGAAAATACGTTAGATATCAGATTTTTTTTTTTTTTGTCGTGGTGGACCTTCCGATGGAAACACCCATATTTATTAAATCAGACAAATCTAAAAGTAATACATTTTTCAAATTGTGTTTAAAAACCCATGTTATTGAGGAACGCATCCATCACAAATAAAAATGTAAATACCAGGTACTTTTGAAAGTAATAATTAATAAAAAAAATTAAACAAAAGCAAATTCTCTAAATATGTTTGTTCTACAACATACAGAAATGGCGAATTTTGCCATTTTTTTCGATATTAAGGAGTCTTCAAATCTTGACCTGAACATACATACATATATACATAACCTGCTGATGAAAAACATCTTTCAGCTTCAACACTTTTAGGGTCAACTGTCAAAAGGTAGTCATAAGCCATTTGAAGTTAATGACCCCTATCTCCTCCACTACAAAATCTTTGAACTTCTTTTACCAGCACGTCGATTTGAGGTGATTGTGGTTGAAAAAATAATGCAAGTTAAAGCTCTCTGTTTCGTTTACATTAGCGACGCTATGAGTAAATTCATTTAAATCTTTTTCAAAAAAAGCTCAGTCTGCAATTTAAAAGTACAATTTCAAGCTTTTTGTTAATTGCAGTCAAGACGGCATTTTACAAAATTCATACTTCAAAATGCATAAACAAGTTCTTACTCTTAATTCGATATTTCAAATTGTTCGGGATCCCAGGATTAATATAAGCAAATCCCGGGATTTTGTGACCTCAAAAACACCGGGATCCCATGATCCCGGGATTGGTATCCCTAATACATACATTTCTAGTAAAACTTTTTATTCATATCCATTCCATTTTCTTAAAAGCAAAGAATTCAGCTGATTTTACAACACCATCTTGTATAAATTCGCCTTGGCGTGTATGTTATACCAATTTTTTGCCCCGATTACCGCGATTGGGATGCCGTACTATATACGTAGGCATGTACATAGGTATTAAGAATGTTAATCCCGGGATCCCGGTCTTTTTTAAGTCCCGAAAATCCCGGGATTATTTGCGTAGAATCGCGGGATTTTCGGGATTTGTAATTTACACTGGTGGCAACAATAGAAACGCTTTATGTTGACCAGTTTTGGCTATATTTCTTTTGTTTATTTAATATTTAAATTTTTTTATAAATGTGTAGCTAAATATACTTATAATACCTTGCGACAAGCAATTTTGCATACACAAAAAATCAATATATTCGCCAAATATTGTAAAATTGCGTTTTTAATTTTTTCTCTCTGACGTCAGGATTTTTTAAAGGAACTTTGAAATTTGAGAGATATTAGTAATTCAAAAAATGATTTAAAAATTTCAGTGCAAAATACTTAAAACAAAACAGTATGGGTATCAAATGAAAGGGAAGATTATGTAGAGTTAAAACATTACAATTTTTGGTGCGTAAGGAACGGGTAGGTATTGAAAATACCCTTTTATAATTTTATCCTTGAATATCCTTGAAATTTTGCAATTCTTATTTTTGAAAAAATTACATGTTAAGCCTAAAAAAATAAAACAGATTAAAGGGGCATTTTAAATTTCTATTCGTTCTTTTGAACCCAAAAAAGATATTTCCTTTGATACCCATATTTTTGTTTTACATTGCACTGAATTTTTTAAATTAATATTGGAATTAATCCTATCTTATATGCAGTTAATTATATGTAATATGAGGTAGACTTTTATAAAAAAATTTAAATTTTGAAAAAACAAAAGAAATATACACAAAACTGGCTGAATTAAGGCGCTTCTTTTATTTCTGCCACTAGTATTATGAACTTCTTTCAAACAGAAAATAAATTTTTTGCATCGAGTTTTTTTCGACATACCTTAAATTACTTTATCAGATATGTACACGCTAAAATATTACTAAATGCATATAAATTTAATTACTGTCTTTCGTTTTGTTACTTATGAAATAATTTTCACTTTAAATAAAAAGTACGTTCCAAACCCATTTACTTATTAATTATTATCTGGTAGGAGAGCTTCTCAAACCATATTGATGCAATTTTTTCATGTTAAGTTGTTGAAAAATGATAAATATCTAAATCCCGGGACTGATCCCGGAATCCCGGGATTGAACCAACGACATCCCGAAAATCTTGGGATCATAAAAAACATGCATTTATATGAGATAAACATTTTGAGGTCTGCTGTTTAGGGAAACCTTAATTTCTGTCTGTAGTTTATTTTTTGGTTTAACTATTCTCTTAATTCATTTTAAAATTATAGTCAAAAGCAAAATAAAAAACAATTTCAAAATGAAATAGTACACTTTAACACCGACTTTCTTCTTGTTTTATTTATCTACTTCTCAGCCCCTAACGTTCCAATGACGCAACTGGCGCAGTACACAATCGAGCCAACAATTCACGCGAGCTACCTCATCAATACACAAGGAATGGTTAATCGGCCTTCAAATCTTCAAACTCCGCCAATAGAAACTTCTGCCTTAAATGAGCAGTATTCTGCAGCTTCATCATTAGGTCGTATAAAAACATCCGCATTTACTTCTGTATTGCAACAACAACTGTCTTATGATGGTACCGCGCCCCGTACCTTGTCAACAGGTGTACCAGTGAACTCCCAGTTCTATTATGGATGACGAAATTCCTAGGGTAGTGTATAACTTAAGGCTCTTTCGGATGATAACTCTCAACTCAAAGTCGAAGCCATCACAACTCTTACTGCCCACCTTTCGTATAATGTGCCGAAAGTGCAGCAAGAATGCTTTAATGAGAGCTACAATGAAAATGACAATCCAAATGACAGCCAGAACGTTAAAACTTCAATAAAAGTTCAGAATGGTTTGCTGCCGACTAAGCCATTGGAAAGCCAAATAACAGCAAAAGCCGAAAAATCAGACAGAATGCATTGCCTTTGAATGCATTAATGTTAGTTGTGGATAAATGAATTATTTATAAGTATTAAGTTACTGACAATGAAATATAATTCCTCATAATACTAATTTTGCACTGCAAAAACATTGAGCTGCGGCGCTTTTTAATTTTTCTTTAGGTTTAGCCTAATTTATAACAGCAACAATACTGAACAGAAATAATTAACATGAAAGGCCCTACACCGTGGATCGAAACCAAGTTCAACCCAAAGGTCTTGTTACTGAAAATCTTCTTGTGAATTTCTTCTCTACTATGTTTTCTAAGTAATTTAAGATGGAATAGAAAAAAATCCTGACACGGATTTTTAAGAAAATCGAGTTTTTGTGTTTTTTATGCTGAAAACATTGTTGCTCAACAGTAAGTTCAAAGCCTTTGCACTTAAAATTTTCTTGTCAATTTTATTTTCATGTTATCTTCTAAGAAATTGTAGTTAAAGAATGAAAAAAATCTTTAAATAAATATACAAGAGAATCGAGTTTTTATATTATTTTATGCCAAAAACCCTATATCTTAAAATAAATTGGTAATCCACCTTCCTCATCGCCTAGACATAAATGAGCAGTGGGATTCCACCTCCCAATTACTTCGTACGATTGTGGGAGAGGTTGTTGGTTATTACAACTCTCGCAGAAACAACTCGTTTCACGAAGATGCCGCGCGGCTACTGCTAATGTTGTCACTTCAAAAACCAAATTAGTGGTAGATTATTAATAAAAACAGCGGTAGATCTCTAACAAAGTGTTGTAAAATATTTGTAACATTTTTATTCGTCAAATTACACTGTAGTAACCATATGTGCAATACATCTATGTTGCTAGTAAAATCCCTGTAGTTCTGCTGAAATTTAGCTAGTGATCAGAGACGACATAAGCTAACAATTCCATGCATTACCGATTGTTTGGCAATTCGCTAGCAACAGGTATGCGACAACCGTGTTGAAAATATCATATATTAGCGATTTTGTGCATTGCTGGTCATAAGCCAGTGCGCTAACGATTGGCAATCGCCACTTTTGCACCAGATAATCGCTAGAAAAAGGACAAGTCACGCGTGCCGCTCGGTGTTTGCAAATAACTTCGGCAGCATTGCCATGTTAAATTAGTTAGGGAAAGGAATTGGTATCGCTAACATCGGGTGACTTGTAGCCTTCCTGCTACAACTAACAATTGCGATACTAATTCCTTTACTTAGCAAATTTAATATGGCAATGCCATTGAAGCAATGTCATTCGCTAGCGCATTGCTCAATTACCAGTATACACAAAATCGCTAGTATACAATATTTCCAATACGGGCGTCTTATTACGTGTCGCTGGCGAATTGCCTAACAATGGGTAATGTATGGAATCGTTGTTTAAGGTTGTCTCTTGCCAGTAGCAGAACTACAGGGATAAGATCGCAATACGTTTACAATTCGAAATCAAAGAAAGACAGCCCACTCGGAAATAGGTAAGCACCTTACAAGGTAATCCATGTTTTCTATTAGCTTTGAGTACCAAAATTGTCATCATGACCAGTATCATCTACTAATAGACCTCAAAATGAACACCTCCGATGACACCTTATGTTGTCAGTTGCAATAACGCCGAAGCTATTTCTAAGCGCCGAACACTACGTAAACACTACTGCTTTGTAAAGCGGCTCAGAAGTGTGTCTGATACCAAATGTACATTCTAAATTCCTACTTACCTAAGGCGGCCACGCCTTAGCTAAAGTAATGGAGATTCCGCAGGGAATTGGTAAGGACCGGATATAACCTCGGCGGCACGTTATTTTGCAACTGACAACGTAAGGCGTCATCGGAGGTGATATTTTTGTATTTTACTAGTAGATGACATTGGCCATGAACACAATTTTGGTACTAAAAGCTGGAATAAAACATGGATTATCTCGTAAGGTGCTCATCTATTTTCCCAGTGGGAGCCTATCACAATTTTCGTGATTGCAAAAGTAAATGTGCATATTTTCAACTACTACAGAAAATTAAATGCCATATCAAGACAGGGACGGTTCAGGGAATTGAACAAACAAACAATCTCAAGTTTCCTCCAAGCCGCAGTAATAGATGCTCTAAGGGCCGTTTGCACCATGTATAGTTAAGGCTAACTGGAGGTACATCCTTTAGTTAAGCACAGCGACTGCATTATCGATCACATGATATATGCTGGGTATCGATTACGTTGATAACGATCTTTAACTGGGAGTTTAAGCCTGATTATGGCAATTTAACCTAACTTAACTTAAAAATGAAACAGATTTCGACATGGCATTAAGTTACGTTAAGTTTCGGCTGTTCAGTTATAAGCAACATCCATTTAAGAGAATGTTTAAGTGAGAGCCTTTAAGTTACGTCAAGTTGCCATAATCAGACCATTAGAATTAAAAAGACATGGTGCAAACGGCCCTAAGAGCATTTGTGCATCAAAATAAAATTTCGCTTGCGTTATATTCGCGATAAGGGCTCGATGTGTCGAGTTTCTCCGGTGCTCTTCGTTCTTTGGAAATTTGAAAAATTGGAAAATAGCAGATATTTTTCCTAACTAAAACAAAACTTATCTACACACATGATTGAATCCAATAAAGCACGCTATACGCTTCTCTTCTGAGTTAATTGGCGCCAAATGGAAAACCCAAATGATGCCAAGTCCTTTTCTAACTGGTATTTTTATCCTCCTCTATGTCGTAAAAATTTTAACGGCTAGATAAATGCGAAGAGGACCTGAAACCACAGCCAAGTATTTTTAACGGTGTGAAATTTTATGGTAGCTTGCGAGTCTCTTAAATATGGTTTTAGCCGTTTAAAGTTTACGACATACAACAATACGACAGTATACAACATCTTGTTAAGGGTGGATTGCAATAAGCCCGCAGAAATAAACTAAACTAAACTAAAATTCTTCGTCAACGTGAAAAATTAAAACAATGAAACCTACATACCAAATTTCGTTGAGATATCTAAATTTTTGCTCGAGTTATCGTGTACACGGACGGACGGACAGACGGACGGACAGACATACATGGTTTAATCGATTACTCTTTTCATTCTGATCATTTATGTATACATTTGTCTATGTCTATCTCGATTCGTTTTGGCTGTTACAAACAACCGTTATGTGAACAAAATTAATATACCCCTGGCACAAGTGCGCTCGGGTATAAAAACGTAAAATTATTTTGAGTACCAACAATTAAAATAATTATTATTTAAGTTTTAAAAATTGGGGTTTTGTCCTATGCAATATTTTTACGCACAACTCCTTTTTGAGTAGGCGACCTTCGGCCGCGCTTCTTCAAAGTACTAGCTCTAGCCGTACCAACATCTCAGCTATGCTATTATACCCACAGTGTGTTATGTGCGCGCCGAAATTAAATTTAGTGGTTCTTTGTTCCGTTATCGAATCAGCTTGTTTGTTCGATTTCGTTAAAAATATACATATGAATGGTCGCCTCAAATAACGTTGTAAGCGACAATTTGTTCAAAGCTAGTTTTCTTGATTTTAAAGATATTAATGTGTATATTTTGTTTTTTTAAAGGCAAGATTCTTGAAGAGTGATATACCGAAAAAGTAGAAACCCCAATTAAATCCCCGTTTGTGCGTCAGTAAACAAGTTTTTTTTCTATTTTGTAAAATTATAATTTTGTCGCTGACAACGTTATTTGAGGCGACCATTCAAATGTATGTACGTAATATGATACTGAATTATTTAAATTGATACAAATTATTACTAATAAAATGAAATAAATATTTCCGGATTTATTGAATATTGGAAAATAAATACATGTACTTATGTAAGTTTTAATTTTGCGAGTGCATAACTTGGCGGGTGCACATTTGCTCCCTCCCCCGCGGCGAATCGCGCCGCGCCGGCTCGCGACCCCACCGTTTC